GCTGTAAATAAAGTATACCAGTGATGTGTATACCCCCTGTATTATGTTTGTATTACTTAGTATGTGTTTTAACATTGATTTTGTGGATTTCTTGATTATCCAGAATATTTGATCAACTGGCACACTTCTAGTCCCATAGGTTCCTGCTGATAAAACGATGGCTGTATATATTTAGAAATTTGGTATATGTCACATAACCAACACAAGGAAATGAATATATCATTTATCTAAACACAGTTATGGTTTAAAATAGGCTCAATTTTAAACTGTACAGACTCTTATTATGATTGTATTATTTTTTAGGATAATTACAATTACCCTATTGCAACCTAAAGCTGACAATGAAAAACTGATCAACAAAATCTTGTATATATATGGATCCAGATTCTCTGCCAAGAACCCTCTGAAAGTCTCCATTTAAATCAGAGCCTTCAGAGAAATCAAGAAATCAGAAGAAATCAAGTAGCAATTCAGGAGATGTTAGACATAAAATACATAGTAATTATGAAATGATACAACAGTTTTGATAGAAGCTGATTTTATGTCTAATAATTGAAGAATCAAAAACAAGATTTAGAATAGACTGAAAGTAACACTGCTTCATGCAGAGAGATGCAATGCTGTGGAATTCACTTCCACGGTTCCTGGTTGAGGCAAAACTACGGCTGCATTCAAAATTAGCCAAGTAAATGAAGAAAAGGGAGACTAAGAGATATGGAAACAAATCAGGTAAATGAAATTGAAACTATTTATTCGTGTGGAAAGTAAACAAACATCGAAAGTGGTTGAAACAAGTATACATTGAATAGAGCAGGCTTCCATGTTGCAACTTCTGTGTGGATTCAGAACTTTAAATCCTGAGATTTCCAAGTAACAGTGAGATATTAATTTCCAGTTACTGCTCTAGCATGGTGAGACTTCAAACTATTACAATTTGAAACCGTATTTGCTGGTCATGCTTCCAACAGCATTTGACGATAAAATGTAGGAGCAAAAGTCAGCCGTTCCATTCAGAGTCTGTTCCGCCATTCAAAGGCTGATCTGATAATCCTCAACTTCACTTTCCTGCCTTAGCCCAATAATTGGTTCTCTTACTATTTAAAAATTTGTCTCTCACAGCTTTGAATATACTTAACGACCTAGCTTCAACAGCTCTCGACAGTCAAGAATTCCATAGATTCACTGCAGATTTAGAAAAAAAAATTCCTCCTCATCTCGGTCTTTAATGGATGACCCCTTACTGAGATTACGCCGTCTGGTCCTAGACTCTTTCACAAGGGTAAACAACTCTTCCCAACTCAAGCCCCCTAAGAATCTTACACATTTCAAGTTACTTAAGGTCCGCATTCTCAAGTTTGACCACAAATGGGTCAAGCGCTAAGCCTGTACCTAACACAGTCATGAAACCCTTAGCATCTTCTACCAGTGATGACATCAAGCAGTACCTGGAATGAGTGTTCTGACAAATAAAATAACTAGGGTGGTAGAGAGGTCTTTAAACTAAATGGGAGAGAAGGAAGACTTAGGAGAGGGGAAACAAAGTGAGGATATAGCGACATTACGGGTCAGTTCTTTGAATAACTATTCCCAGAGTGAGAAAGGAAGGCACAGAGTGCACAACATAGAAAAATGATAGTTCGGGGTGGGGGGTGGATCTGCTAAAAAGACAAAACGAATACCTCTTTACTTGACTAACAAAATAAATTAATGACACAAATATAAGTAAATGAGTATGGTCTTATAGTCAATACAGATATATGGTTTCAAGGAGATCTAAAGGGAGCTAAATATTAGGACATGTGGTATTTTGAAAGAACAGACAGAAAGGTAAGGGTGGTGGGGTAGTATTGTTAATAAGGGATGAACTAAGTATTATAGCCAGAAAACTTCTTGAATCAAAACATGCAGAATCCATATGGGTGGAGGTAAGAAATAACAAGGGGACGGTGACACCGGTAGGTATAGCCTATGGGCCTCTTAACAGAAACAATTCGGTTGGAATTAGAATAAATCAGGAGCTAATGAAGGCATGTAAAAAGGTAGAGCATTATTCATGTGCGACTTTCATTTTCATGTAGATTGGGGTAGCTTGATCTGCACAGGTAGCCACAAGGAAGAATTAATAGACAATTTGGGTCAGTTTCCAAGAACAATATGTTGTGGATCTAACCAGATATCAGGCTTACTTTGGATCTGTTGATGTGTAATGAAGCAGGTTTAATAAATAACATCAGAGTAAAAGATCACCTAGGGAACACTGACCATAACAAAAACTGAAAGAAGTGCAAATCAAACAAAAATAGATACTGCTGGAAAAGTCTCAGCAGATCTGGCAGCATCTGTGGAGAGAAATCAGAACTAACATTTCAAGTCAAGTGATCCTGTCTCAGAACTGACCATAACAAAGTATAATTTAGCATTCAGTTTGGAGGAAAGAAATCTGTCCGAGAAACAACTGTGCTAACTTCAATAAAGGTAATTACAAAGCAATGAGGGTTGAGTTAGCTGGAGAGGACTCAAAAGGATTTTAGCAACAAAGATGGTTGATGAACAATGGCAGAAGTTTAAGAAAATATTTTAATGGCTCACAGAAAAGACAAAGAAAGAAAGGTTATGAGAAGGCGAGAAACCAACCATGGTTAACCAAGGAAGTTAAGGCTAATATCAAATTGAAAGAAAAAGCGTGCAATGTGGCAAATATTAGTGGCAAGCCAGATGATTGGGAAAGTTCTAAAAACCAACCAAAGACAACTAAAAGATAATAAAGAGGGTAAATATAAACTTTGAAGGTGAACTTTCAATAGTTTTGGGCCCCTTATCCAGGGAAAAATGTACTGACATTGGAGGTAGTCCACAGAAGGTTCTTTAAGCTGGACTCATGCTTGGAAGAACTGTCTTCTGAGAAGAGGTTGAATACATTGGGCCTGTACTCATTTGAGTTTAGAAGAACGAGATGCAACCTTATTGAAACATACTCAAGTCTTGGGGACTTGACAGGTTAAATGCAGAACATGTTTCCCCTTGTAGAAAAATCTGGGACCAGAGGGCATAATCTCTGAGTATGAGATCACCCTTTTAAGATTGGGCTGGGGAGGATTTCTTTCCTCTCAGAGAATAGTGATTTGTATATTTTCTTTTACCATAGAGGACTGTTGAAGCTATGCCATTAAGTATATTCAAGGCTGAGATAGACAATTTTTTAATCAGTAAGGGAATCAAGGGTTTTGGGGAAATAAAGCAGGAAAGTTGAGTTCAGGATTTTAACATTAGTTAAAACTTAAAACTTAATGAATGGCAGAGCAGCCTGCTTCTGATCCTTGCATTATGGTGTATATGTTTATGTATGTAAAAATGCAGTTACATTAATGGTAATATGTAAAAAGTTTTCATATTCAAGTTGCTCTATCCTACAAGCTGCACCCTAATATATAAATTAGACATATTCAGCAGTAAGAGAACTGAATAACTTTGAGATAACAAGGTGTAGAGCTGGATGAACACAGCAGGCCAA